GAGGTTCCCACAAGAGTGTTCCACAAGAGTGCCCTATAAGAGTGTCCCACAAGAGTGTCCCACAAGAGTGTCCTACAAGAGTGCCCCATAGGAGTTTCCTACAAGAGTGACCCACAAGAGTGTCCTACAAGAGTGTCCTACAAGAGTGTCCCAGAAGAGTGTCCCACAAGAGTGTCCTACAAGAGTGTCCCACAAGAGTGACCCACAACAGTGTCCTACAAGAGTGTCTTACAAGAGTGTCCCAGAAGAGTGTCCCACAAGAGTGTCCTACAAGAGTGTCTCACAAGAGTGTCCTACAAGTCTGTCCCACAACAGTGTCCCACTAGAGTGTCTCACAAGAGTGTCCCTTGAGAGTGTCCTACACGAGTATCCCACAAGAGTCCTCCAAGAGTGTCCCACAAGAGTGTCCCACAAGAGTGTCCCACAAGAGTGTCCTACAAGAGTGTCCCACAAGAGTGTCCCACACCAGAGTGTTCTGCAAGTGACCCACAACAGTGTCCCACAAGAGTGTCCTACAAGAGTGTCCCACAAGAGTGTCCCACAAGAGTGTCCCACAAGAGTGTCCCACAAGAGTGTCTCACAAGAGTGTCTCACAAGAGTGTTCCACCAGAGTGTCCTACAAGAGTATCCCACAAGAGTGTCCTACAAGAGTGTCGTGTAAGAGTGTCCCACAAGAGTGTCCTGCAAGTGACCCACACAAGTGTTCCCACAAGAGTGTCCTACAAGAGTGTCCCACAAGAGTGTCCTACAAGAGTGTCCCACAAGAGTGTCCCACAAGAGTGTTCCACAAGAGTGTCCTACAAGAGTGTCCCACAGGAGTTTCCTACAAGAGTGACCCACAAGAGTGTCCTACAAGAGTGTCCTACAAGAGTGTCATTTGGACATATTAGTTTGTCGAACGTGTTTGCGTTCGGGTTCGTGGGTTCCATCTTGTTTCTTAGTTACTGACTTGCCTTTATTCTTTGGGTTTTGTTTGTCTTCCTCTCTTGCATTCTTTCCAGCCTTCCAGGCCAGGTTTCACCGTTAACTTATTTTTTTATCGGTCTCGCATACTTTTGCGCGTCTTACATAAAGCCTTAAGTGCAACATCATACTGTAGTAGCTGCGCGCCGTCTTTTGCGCGCGTAAACTTACACTCAGGTAATGTAAATGCTCGAAGAACATGTATAGCCATAACATTTTGACCGAAAGGCTGCTTGAGAATGCTTGGACCGCGTGACTGCATGCTCCGTTAATGCGTATGCCCGTGTTCATTGAAACGTGAGTCTGACCCAACGGCTGCCTGAGAATGCAAGAGCCCCTGGTGTAGCGCCATGTTGTGTTTCGATTCTTCTGGCCCGGCGGCGCTTTGCTATGTGAGAACTGTGAGAACGTTTGTGCGCGTTGCCTGTGAGACCTAGGGGCTCTGTGCTGTTTTCGCGCGTATTTTTGCACGCATACATGCATACATGCATGCAAGCGTGTTTCCAGACCAGACAAAGACGGACAGACAGACAGACAGACAGGCAGGCAGACAGACAGACATACATACAAACAAACATACAGACAGACAGACAGGCAGACATACATACATACATACGCGCAGACATTTCCTTACATGAACGCATGCACACATTACATTGGACGACATCACACGTAACATTAACATGCATACAAACATACATACACATACGCGCAGCATCACACTGTGTTGACCCGAGCGCAGAGTGTGTTTTTGTTTGTCAGGACGAGTAGTTTGCTTCTCGTTTGCGTTTGCTATTACGTTTGAACGCCTGCGCGTGGTGCCTGTGAAACCTTGGAGTTGTACTGTTTGCGCGTATTAGTGTTTTTGTACCTCTCGTATGAATATATATACATATGTATATTGTACGCGCAACATCCTGTTGCACTCCCTGCGCACAGCACCACATTGTTTTCATGGGGGCAGCGCGTGTGCTGGAGCGACGTCTTCAATTATTCTGTGTGTTTCGAAACATTGAGTCTCACCACTTGTTTGTCGGTCTGATTGGCGTTTTGTTGGCACCGCTCACGGCCACTGGAAACTTTCATTTTTTCCTTGATTCCCAGGAACATCTGTTTTTGGAATTAGTTGCTATCTATCTGGGATCTATGCCAGTGCAATTTGTTCCCCAGATTGGGGTTCTTACTTCAATATAGGAAATGGTGCCGGTGCGCGCTTTGGAGCCTGGATGATGGTAGCCGCTACAGGGTGCCACTGCGAGAGGTGTATGGCCATGTGTGCCAGGGGGGCGGTGCAACATGCTGTTCCAGGGTGCTGGTGCTGCTGCGAGATGTTTATGACCGTGTGCGCTTTGGAGATTGGGTGCTGGTGCCGCAAGGCGCTGTTGCCAGATGTCTATGGCTGTGTGCGCTTTGGAACCTGGGCGCTGGTGCCGTTGCCCGGCGCTGCCCGTTTTTTTGTTATTTGGGTCTCTGCAAGCGTTTGTTGATGATGCACGGTAAACTGCTTCTATGAAGGTTGAGGACAAGTAAACATAATTTACACCATTTTACCATTGATTGCCTTGATTGCCATCGGACGTCACTATTTGGACTATGGACCATGAAGGGTATATATAAGGCCTTCAGCTTCGTGGTAGCAAACCGCACTGCACGCATGGGGTTACATGTTGCTGTGGCTTTACATGTAATTTTAAGCTGGACTCGACTCGGTACGTGTAGCCTCTTCTAGATGACTCAAAAGTGTGCAGTGTGTGGGCATACTGTGCTGCAGTCCATTGCCATCAAAATTCATCGAACAAACTATACCAATGCAGATGGCACTTGTTGTTGTGATGCACTTACAACGTCTTTCCACTCCTAGGCTCGGGAGTCGGAATTTTGGTTCTCTATATACATGGTTTTAACATAGTTGAGGAAAGCAACTGCCATGCTGGGCATGATTTGGGAACTCGCAGCCCTTGAGCGGCAAAAGTGACAAACCTTGTGTTTCCCATGAATATTTGCCTCTGCTCGGCTTACGAAAACCGTGATATGGCACTTAAACCGTGTATTTTTCTCCGAACAACTCAGATTGACTTGCACGGAAGGAGTCGACGCAGGTCCAGGGGTCGCTCTAGCAGCTGTGTTCCGGCTTCATGAGCGAAATACAGTTTGCGATTAGGATGTTTGTTTTTTTACATGTTGAGGTTGTTTTACAAGTGCAGCGGATCTTTCAGTTGTGTTCAAAGGTGGGCGATTTTCTCGCGGCATCCAACTCCGACCTTCCCAGCAGGTTTGCCACCAAAGATGGAATAAACAATTTACAAACATTTGTCATGACAATGACAGTGTCACGAAATGTTGAAGTGAAACTTGTGTTCGAAGTTGACATTGGAAGCTGCCCTGCAGATAGACTCAGACAGCATCAAATATTGCAGATATCATCAGGTTCATGAGAGACGCAGCCAAGCAGGCAAATTGCAGAGCTTTTTGTGGACCGTTTGTATGTTAGGTTGTGCCACGTACCATTTCGTTCTATTTGTGCGAGGCAATAGGCCCAAGGCGCTCTTCCTCATGGGATTGCCTTTGGCCAAGTTGTAGCAACTTTGATCAGCTTTGTATCGCGGGCAACCTCTTGCTCCTGCACGGTTAGTTAGGTTCCAGCACCGTGATTTGGTGGGATTTTCAGAAATGATGAATTGTATTTGCACACACAGAGCTGTTGATATTCGCCCCTCAAATCCAATAGCCATGAACTGGTACTCAATTGTGCGCAATGGTGCAGATGGACCTTACAGTATTTGCTGTCACATCACTGCTTGGAAAAGGTGTCGTGCAATCGTTGGAGGTCCGGGTGCCGGGGTACTGACTGGCACTGACTGGTATTACACCGGAGCCGTGCAGAGATGTGTCATTCCGTGTTTTCCTTTCACAGCTCTGCTTCGCTTGTGAAGTCGGTTCCTTGTCCTTTGCTTCATCCTTGATTGGTGTTGCTCACCTCATCATCAGGGCTGATGGTCGTGGCTTACGGCGTATGAGGCCGGTTTCACCTCGGGTTCCGCTTGCCTCTTAAGGGATGTGCTTTTTGATGGGTGGACATCAGCCCAGGATCATCTTAGCTTCGACTGACCAGCCACTCTATCCCTGGATTTGCTACCATAGCTTCCTTCATTCTCACGCTTGGCAATAGCCAGAACTTGCCTGCATGTATATATTCTGCCTGAGTGTCAGCCTGCCTTTCCGGTCGGTCGGTCCGTGTGTCTGTCTGGCTGTCGGACAAGCAATGGCCCAATCAACCAACCAAGCAAGCAGTCAATGTCTATACAGTTGCCATCTGCAATGACAGATTGCCGAAATTGAACTAACACTTCGCACTAGCCATTACCCGACCTGTCTGCGAATGGAAGGGACATCGGGTATATGGTTTGAGTCAGGTGCTCGCTTCTTGTTGTAGGGTTCCAGGCTTTTCTTCGCCTGTCCTGTCCAGATTCCGTTGTCAATTCTGCAAGCGGGTAGACCTTGTCCCTCATTCTGTTGTGAACAAAGTTCGGAAACGCAATCAGTTCTATCATTCTGACCGTAGGGAGGCCTGCGACACCTGCTCATACCAGAATGTTGGCTTGTCCGATGCAAAGGTAGCTCATCATCACTGAGCCTCTTGTGAAACTCAGTTTCGGAATCAGATTTGCGGCCCACTTCGATCATATGATGGAATCAAACAATGTATATAACGATATGTTTGGACCAGCGTTTGTTGCGTCTCAGGCCAGGAGCTGGGAAAACGACGGTGGGTGGCTGAGAACATGATAGAAACCTGAAACGACCCCCGATGTTCTCTACAATGTGCTTTGTCAGGGGGTAGGCCCCCAAGATGGGGGACGGTAGCTTAATTAGGTAGCTAGCAGATGCTAGTAGGAGGGCTCCGGCTTTTCAAGTGCGCTCCTGCAGCCTTGAAGAACTGCTTGCATTTCATGGTCGAAGCAGCTCGATTTTCCGAGACATTAAGAGCCAGCCCTTTGTGATCCTTTGTGACACTCTGCAAGGTGAAGAAGGATAGGATGAGCAAAGAATTTTTCGTGAGAGCCTTGAGCGACTTTGGCTAGAACTAGAAGCATCTCTGCAACTTGTGGCCTCAGGTAAATGTCGAGCCTGACCAGCTGAAACGTTTTCACAGGCATTTCTCCAGTTCAATGAGCGAGGACGCTTCCTGGCTCAGCACTCATGGCACTTTGTTTGGCCATTCTTGCTAAGCTTCCCACGAGCCGCGTTTCGAAAGGAGACCGACACAGAAGTGCACAGATGGAGTGCGCTGGACTTTGCATTCCCACCTTTGAAGCTCAGGCAATACACGCCTCCTCCGAAAATTGAATTTGTGGACATGAGGTCAGGCGAGCTGTGGATGCTTTTGAGGATGCGCTCAACGACAGAAGGACCCAGAAACTAGCTGTTTGATCGATGCAACCGGTATAGTATTATGAACTGAAGATACCATGCATCGATGAACAAGCGAGGAGACCCAATGTGCTCTTCGACTCTTCTGGCTCAAACTCGCAAGCACCCCAAACTCCAGAAAGTGGACCGATTGTCCTTGAAGAACCTTTTGCATAGTTGACTTGGTTCCTAGATTGTTTTTTGGAACACTCAAGCTTGGCGGAGTGCTGTTGGGCAAAGGAAGATACTTTGCCGAAAAACTTGAAGCTCGTCACACGTTCCAAGGCAGTGGCTGGCACGCCGCCTCGAGACTGCGCGCCATGCAGGTTGGCAGTTCGCCATGTCTCAATCCAACTGCGAACACACTGATAGGCTGTTCTGCTGCCTTCCAGGCTACCAGACAGAGCTGCTGTGGGTGGACGTGCCTGTGGAGGCTGGCGCAACAAGAGCCACGCACGCACAAGCAGACATGCCACATCATCGCTTGATTGAATCTTATGTGGCCAGCTTGCCGTCCCAGATAGCCTTGTGGCGGAATCGAAACCGAGCAAAATCCAAAGGACAGCACGGCTCTCAGAGACTTGATCTCTGCCATGCTATGAATGCCTCACAGAGCGTATCATGCAGGGATTCCGCTGCAGGTGGTGTCCAGAGTGCATTATCATGGAAAAGTCAGAGGTAATGCGAAGCAGCTTCGAGGAGAGCCCCTAGTAGCGTCCTTGCTCCTAGTAGCGATGCCAGGAGCCCCTAGTAGCGTCCTCTTGTTCCTAGTAGTAAGGCCAAGAGCCCCTAGTAGCAATGCCCTTTGCTCCTAGAGGGCGGCGATTCATCGAAAGAGATGTTCCCTCTGTGCTTCCTTCAGACAACTTCTTCCTCAGCCTAGGAGCTCCGTGACACTGCCAATGCAGCCAGCAGAATACAGAACTGGGCCGCAGCCTTGAAAAATGATCTGAGGCAAAGGGCAAAGGCGGCAAAGGAAAACGCATACAGTAGGATGCGCAACCTGCCACATGTTACCGGCATTCGCACCTAAGGACCCAGAGGGTGATGAGCTGAAGCAGGCAAAGCAGGACCAATCATGTCTTGAGATTTGCTTTAGCACCCATCATTGCCACGACAGCGAGCTCTTTCCAGCAATTAAGCCAAGCATGACCAAGCGTGTTTTCTGCAGGACCTGTACCTATATCCAGCCCCCAGGACCGGAAACGCTTTAGGGTGACACTGAAGCTTGCTGTTCTGACGGTGCTCTACAGGACGCGGGCAGCCACCGTGCACCCAAGCGATCCAACTTATGGAGAGGCATGCTTTGACCTAGCTCTCACAAACACCAAGCTTCATGATCAGAAGACTCATTTCTTTGAAGTCTAGCCGCTGAGCTGTCAACAATGTGACAAGATAGCTCGACAACATTTCTTGGACCCTGTTCTGCCACTTGTTCAATCTTCATGTTCGCGTTTGAGCCATCTCCATCCCATTTTTGGAACCCAGGGTTGATTGTGACAACAAGAACAATAAAACACTTTGTCTTCCAATGTGGAGAGAAGGGCGAATTGTAAAATCTGCAGGCCCCACCTGGTGCGCGCTCCCCATCGCCGACTCGCACGTCGCAAAGGAGACGACATTTGTTTCAATTTCGTGGCAGATCCTTTGAACCTTTTTTGAACCACTTCCAGGTCTTGGGACAGTGCAGGTCTGTTTCATTTCTACACTGGCCCTTCGTCCATGCTGGGCTCCTGATGCATTTTAATTTGTCTTCTTTAGAAGCATAGAGCGACTCTTTAATAACCCGCAATATATCGGCTTTAAAGCCTTCAGCGTATGTCCCGGGCGGCGCATCCCGCCTGCAATAAGTGCAGGCAAGCGCCTTCAGCAGAGCAGGCACTGACTCCTGGTGCATTGCCAGCTCCGCGCTGGAACTGGTCCAGGCGGACCTCCGTGCGCGGTGGGCTTGCGCCGATCTCCGCCGTGCAGCAGGAGAGCTGCTGGTGGACGCGGCGCGGCAAATCAAAGTCCTCAGGAGTCTCTCACTGAGGCTGGGCCCCGTTGGAGGAGGCTCGAACGTCGAGGAGAGAGAGGCACTCCCGAGGTCTTTGGGGGCCACTGCAAAAGGGCAACCTCCTCGCCCGCCTGCTCGTGAACCTCCCGTGCCACCCCCTGTGGTTGCATCGAGTCGTTCAAGGGTGGAAGAATCAGGACCAGCTGCCGAGTCTGAGGAACCTGATCCAGAGGAGAGCTATACCTACGAGTATACGGAGGGCGAGGACGAGCTTGAAGAGGAGAAGGACGACCTGAACAAGGAGGCAGTGCAGCAGCCCCCAACTCCGCCGCCCACCAGGGTGAAGGTTGAGGAGGCCGAGGCAAGTCGTGAGAGGCGAGAAGGACGTGAAGAAAGAGAAAGGCGAGGAGAGAGTTCGAAAGATAAGAAGAGGAGACGTGGAGCAGAGGAGACTGAGAGGAGGCGAGGAAGAAGAGGTGGCAGAAAACATCAGCAGAGGTCGAAGAGGAAGCACAAGCCAGGAGTGAGGTTCCATAAGAAGAGGAGTATCGCAGAGCTGACGGGTGCACGAGGCAAGGACGACTACCGAGGTCTCCCGCCTCCACCACCATGTCCGCGCTGAAAGAGCTCTTCCCAGAATGGACAGAGGGCGACGAGTTCACTATGGGGGACAAGGTGCGCTGGTCGATGTTGAGTTTCAGGAAAGGAGATTGCGTGGAGATCGACCTGCTGGTCAAGTCGGTGGGGTGCTCAGACGTCACCCTCAACAAGCCTTTGTCGTTGCGCTTCAACAGGAGGGAAGGCTGGATACATTGCTGTCTCAGTTCGCCCTGCGTCGAAGCGGAGGACAATTTCCTTCACACCACTTCGCTGCGCGTGTACTCTTTGGACTCTGGACGCCTTTGCTCCCCCCCTACTTCATGCCCGCTCATCGACGACAGGTGTCCAAGTGGCTCGAACTGCCCGAGGAGGGCGGTTTGAGAGAGGATGCATTAGGAGAGGAGGAGCAGCTAGAAGAGGAGGAGCAGTCGAAAAAGGATCGTTCAGGAGCAGTGGAGGCTGGTTTGCACAAAAAGGCAAGAACAGAGGAGCCGGCTTCGAGGTCTGGGAGGACAACATCTCCAAAGAGTCGCGTGTCGCGCCCGAGCGCGCTGCGGCGAGGCGTGAGTTTGGGACCCAGGGCTCGAGGCAAAGGTCAGGCCGAGGTGAGGTCTACGGGGAAAGACATTCCTCAGGAGCGCGCAGAGCAGAAGAGAGATGGAATTGGAGAAGACTTGGCCTGGTCAGAAGGACAAGGCCTGGCCGAAGACCTGAGGCTGGGCAGCAAAGGAGAGCGAGAACAGATGTCGACCTCGGAGCTACGAAAGAAACTCGATCAGGTCAAGGCTAGGAGGAGCCGCCAGACCGTCGATTGGAGACCTTCGCAGGTCCTGCCGAGCACGACGAGGAGCTCGAGGACACCGTGAAGTCGAAGGAACGAGATTCAGGCTTTGTGGAGGAGTTGAAGACCCTGACGAGTGGGACGACCTTGAAGAGGAAGAAAACCCCGGAGGTTACAAGAGACACTACTACCAGAGACATCTCGAGGGAAGCTTCTTCGCATCGGAGGACTTCGAAGGAGGAAGAGGCTGGAGACGAGAGGGAGAAGATCCTAGCATTGTTGAATCAGGTGGACCGCAAGGTCTTGAGGTCGAGGGGGGATGGAGGAGATCCCCCAAGAGACAGAGGAAGGAGCCGTTCAAAGAAAGCTCAGGAAGCTCGGGAGAAAGCTATTCGTCTGCAAGTTCAACAGCAGAAGGCTTCGAAGCACCGTTGAGGAGAAGATCACGAGCATCGCCGGGATCGGTACTACGACTACTGGTCCAGAAGGCGCAATCCGCGCCGGACCAGTCCTCATTGGTCGAGATGGACAAGGCGACGAGCAGCTCCATCACGCACGTATTTCAACCTCCATGTGAAGCCGCACTTCGCCCATCAACGAGGACCCATGAGAGACTTATGGTTAATGACCCAGGCGCTGGACATGATTCGCGCTGGGAACATAGCATTGGCGGCGGACCAGTTGGCGGGCCACTTTCTTGCAGGGCATCAGGCCCTGATGGATGCATCGTGGAGCCAGGCCCGATATCTCGAGGTGGCAGACCAAGGCGATCAGAGCGCAACTTCGGCAGCGATATTGCTGGAGACAAGAAAGCGTGCGAAAGCCAGCCTCAAGGTCGAGTCCATGGACCCATGGATCCCCGGAAAGAGTTGGCAAAGAGGCTGATACGGAGGAGGAAAAAGCAGGTGGGAGCCCGACAAAGGGAAAGCAAAAGGAAAGAAGGGAGGAAAAGGAAAAGAGAAAGGAGGTTGGCAGGACAAGGAAGGGAAAGGGAAAGCGAAGCGGAGGGACTCCCACGACAAAGGAGAGAAGGAGAAGGAGGCATAGAATGTTTGGCGACTGTAAGTAATTTGAGGAGAGACGAGGGCCAGGCGCCACCCTTTGAAGTTGTTTCACAAGAGGAGAAGGCTGATCGAGCGGCGACTTCAGCTACAGAGAAAGCGCTGGAGCTGCCATCTCAGCCTGTTGTTGAGGAGGAGAAGACTTGGTTGAGCTCACGCCAGGCCATTTGCATAGCAGTTGGGAGCCGCATTGTCAATCTCAAGAAGGCGGGAACCCTACTAGCCTGGCTCGTTGTCCGAGCTGGCGAAAAAGACCAAGGAGGAGCATGGCGTTGGTTGAATCCAGTTGGGTTTGAAAAGATAGATCCCGCGACCGGTTGCGGGGGGCCCACGAAGGCTGCCTCGTTCCCTTTCAGAATAGGAGAGTTGGAGGAAGTGTTGGAGGCGCTTCGCCGTGCGTCCCTTGACGAGGTCGCTGGCTCGAATTTCTCCGAGAAGTGGGCGGAAGATGCCTGGCTTTACCTGGCGCTTCACTCCGTCAGTGGCCTGGCAAGCCGTGCGAAGCCGCTGGCGAAAGGGCGATGGAGCGCGCTGGAACAAAGAGGCGCGGCGACAGCTAGGCAGTTTGTACAGAGACTCTTGAAGAGCCACTGCGGATCTGTGACCGCCTTCGAGAAAATAGGCAAGGACTTAGAGGCTGCGAGGGTTGACTACAGCGGGGAGGAAACTGGGGTTTGCGAACCCCTCACACTGGCTCAAGCGCTCCCTGCTCTTCCCCCTATGAACCATGGTGGCTCCATCAAACTGGTTGACCTCGTTGGATGCCACCCGTGAGGTGTTGGAGGACCCTGTAAGTTTGTTGAGGGGGGGCTTTGGTCACCCTCGCCCAAAAATCCCTGGGGCTGTTCATTTTGGCAAAGGGGAAAAGATGTCAGTGTGTGAGGAATTGGTCCGTCGAGGTATTTGTGAGTGGATTGAATCTTCTACGGTTGCGAAGGTTGATGGTATCCCCATTTTGAATGGACTCTTTGGGGTCCAGAAGCCTTCGAAGGCTTCTGGATCTAAGTTGGAAGATGGGAGGCCCATCTTGCGTGTGATTATGAACCTTAAGCCCACTAATTCGGTGTTGACTCAGATTCGGGGAGCAGTTGATGGACTTCCCGCAATCACAGCGTGGCAAGCAGCGCTCTTGGAGAGTGATGAGGGCTTTCATTGCTACTAGTCGGACATCTCCTCAGCATTCTACCTTTTTGAGCTACCACGAGCATGGCTGCCATTCCTGGCATTTTCAGTTGAAGCGAACGGCGAAAGCATAGGAGGCCGTACTGGGGTCATGCGCAACCTTGCGTGTCGCGTTTTGCCGATGGGACTCCACAGCTCGGTGACCCTTATGCAAGAGGTCTCAGAGACCATACTATGGAGAGAGGGCTTGCGTGCGACAAACCAGGTACGAAGAGGGCAGCCAGTGCCTTGCGCTCTGATTCAGGCCGCGCGCACTAGTCTGGCTGAGGATCGATGCTTTTGGCAGGTCTACCTTGACAATTTCATGGGGGGCGATTTCACTACTTGGAGACCGGGTTCATCGGATTTGTGAGGAGACTTGGAAAAGCCACCATAGTTTGTCTTCAGAGAAGAAGAGGGTTTCAAACAGCCAAGAGACGGAAGAATTGGGAGCTTTGCTTCAAGGGAAAGAAGGCTTTGTTGGTGGTTCCCCCCAGCGGTTTTGCAAGCTTTTACAAAGTACCCTATGGATGCTTGGACAACGACCGGTCACAAAGAAGATGGTTCAAGTAGTTGCCGGAAGGTGAGTACATGTCTTACAGTTTCGTAGGCCAGGGATGAGCTTTCTCGATAAGACTTCGAGTTTCATTAACAAGATTGCTCAAGGTGACCAGCTGGCTTTGCAGATGAAGAGGGAGTTCTTTCTCCTCATGGGTGCCACCCCGTTGTTGCACACTTTCTTTGGGGCAAAAGTTGATGATCAGATTTGGTGCAGTGATGCCTCCGAATGGGGTGGAGCCGTAGGAAAGGCAGTTTCGCTTTCCTCTCAGGGTCAGGACTTTGTTCTGTCGTCTCAACTGTCGGGTAGGAGCCTAGCTACCACACCCATCCTGGTCATCGGACTGTTCTCGGGCATTGGAGGAACCTTTACAATCTATGACCTTCTAGATCTCATCCCTCGTGGTTTGGTCGCAGTAGACGTTCACACACCTGCCAATCGCATTGTGAGCCGACGGTGGCCGGCCGCACAAATACTGCGTGATATACAAGAAATCGACGTTGAGACAGTGCGGGCTTGGGCCCAGACATACCACACGGTGGACGAGGTGCACATTTGGGGCGGCTTCCCATGTAGGGACTTGAGCTCAGCACGAGCCAACAGGTGGAATTTACAAGGAGACGAAAGCAGCCTGTTCTTTGAGCTCCTACGAATTTGGCAATTGGTCACCACCTGTTTCTCAAAAACGAGTGGTGATAAAAGTGGCTGCGGAGAACGTGGCATCAATGGACGAGAGTGCATCAGCAGAGATCTCAGCCTGGATGGAATGTCACCCGTATCACCTCGATTCGGTCGATGCCGTCCCCCTTCGTCGGCCCCGACTCTGTTGGACCACTGAGAAGGTTGAGGGTTGTCTTGAAGGGTTGAGTTTTATTGAGGATAGGAGGTGGACACGGATTGTTGCTGAAGCCCCTTACCCGTCTTCATCACAATGGCTTACAAAGGGTTTTTCGTGGCCAGGTGAAAAAGAAGCAAAGGCATTCCCCACTTGTATGAGGGCTGTTTGGAAGGATTCCCCTCCTTCACACCCTGCGGGGATCCACCGTGCTGACGCGGATTGCCGCGCGAGATGGGCCCTTTGTGGTTACATCTACCCTCCTTACCAGTTTCGTTCCGAGTTCTTACTTTGGAGGGAAGGTTGTTGGAGGTTAACAAACAGTGAGGAGCGAAGCCTGTTGATGGGGTACGGTCATCAGCATTGTTCATTGGCCTGGCCCGCTAGCAAGATCAAAGGAGACCCAGAAGGATATGAGCGAGAACAGTGCTCTTTACTAGGAGATGCTTTTAGTATGTACTCTTTTTGCATTATTGGTGCTGCCTTGTGCAAGGCCTTTCTCCCTTCAATTCACTATCGTCACCTGAGCCTGAGGATGGGTTTAGCCCCGGGTTTTCGCGCAAGCCTTCGACTCCAAGCCCCCCCTGGCTCCTTCTTAATTGATCGACCTCCACCACCATATTGGCGTCAAGGACCTCAACCTGATCCTACTTAGCAGAACAAACTTTACGGGTAGTGACGTCAGAGTTGTTCTGGTGACTTGGTCAACCCAAAGGCCTTCCCCAGACAATCAATCTCTGCAAGCTGGTGGGCTTGGGAGCATGCCTTTAAAGTGCGATGGCCCCGACCGCAGCATATAAATCAACTCGAACTCAAAGCAATCCTCCTCAGCGTCTTGAGGGGGATCAGGTCTGAGAAGTGGTCGCAGCAGCGGGTTTTCCACCTGAGTGATTCTTATGTTTGCATCAGTGTCATTTCTAAAGGACGCTCCAGCTCCGTATGTTGAACAGGCTTCTAAAGATTCTCAACGCCCACCTCCTAGTTCATGGCATCTGTTTGATCCTGGCTCACGTGGAGAGCTCCGAAAACCCCACTGATGGGGCGAGTAGGAGTTAGGTTGTTGCAGAAGCGGACTAGGAGTGAGCGAAAGCGAGATCGGCAGGGCATTTTGCTTCGCGACGCTGGGATCACCATCCGCGCTCGCATTGCTTATTTTGTGGCTCGGAGCATGTTGTTGCCTTTCATTGAAAATGCGCAATCAGCCTCTGAGCTTGATCTGGCTGCCGCAGAGTGGGTTGAGATGTGTTGGGAAGATGGTGAGTCCCTATATACCGTTGGCAGTGCCCTGTCAGGCTTGCACTTCTTCGAACCGTTCACACGTAAACAGATCCCTACCGCTTGGAAACTGTTCGCCGCCTGGAAAAAGATGGAATGGCCGGCTCGAGCGCCGCCGCTGACGGAGAACATTGTTCTCAGCATGGCTTACTATGCAATTTGCCATGATGATTTGTTCCTCAGCTGCCTTCTGGCCTTGGGATTTTTCACACTCCTCCGAACAGGAGAACTCTTAAATCTCAGAGGCTCTGACTTGCTCGCGAATGCCTCTCAAGTAGTTGTCTCGTTGAAAGATACTAAGACTGGCAAGCGCAATGCGGCCAATGAAATGGTTACTACATCTAATCCTTTCACAGTTGAAGTTTGTTTGGCCGTCAAAGATGTTCTCTCGCGCCGTGGTGCGCTGGCCAAGCGACTTTGGGAGTTTTCGGCCCAGGCCTTTCGTACACACTTTGATGTTTACCTCAAAAAGTTCAAGATAGGCTCACTGGGCTTTCGCCCTTACTCCCTCCGTAGGGGGGGGGCTACGTGGATACTCCAGACTTCAGGTTCGATGGAACTTGCTTTGTTGAAGGGTCGCTGGTCAAGTCACCGGGTGGCCAGAATATATATATATATAGCAGACGGCCTCTCAAAAATTCCTGATCTTACTATGTCCCCCGAAACCCGTTTTCTCCTTCGGTCGTGGGACCCTCGTCACCTAGGTGACGCCAAGGGGGACCGTGGAACACGCCCTTGAATTTGAACCAGTTGAGCGTACTTGATTTGAAGCTTGAAACTTACACCTCTGCATGGAGGTGGTTGGATTCACGAAAGCGTCTGCATGGATGCTACGAACTGCATCTGCAAGGATGCAAAAGGAAGG